GGGCTCCTGCTCAGACTTGATATACCTAAAACTACTTACAGAACAGCTAAGTTTCGGCACTAATTAAATATTCAAGCTCGGAATCGACCAAAAATGATGTTCGCTCGTCACGTCACTTTGACGTATTACCAAGACTAATAAAAGAATAGTTGACAGCGCGCCACTTTGCTGCATCCCGCACAACAGGTGTAACAGGCCCCTAACGGGGCGACTGTGCCTGCGTGCCGAGGGTAGCGTTAGATGACGGAGATGTATAGATCGACCAGCCAAAGATTGCTAGGGACGAAAGGGGGAAATGCGATGAAAAAACCTTACCATTAGACGATTTTATATGGAGTCATAGGCGGAGATCGGAGAGACTTGAATTATTAATTGAATTTATATTTTATTACAACTGGTAGTATTAATATTTTTTTGCGATTCATAATGACGTGATACCAAACATACATTATAAGAAATAAATATACACAAACACTGAATATTGAGAACAAAATAAATATATTTTTTAGGCAACAAGTAATATTCCTATGTACGCATTATGATTGAACAGCAAAACAAATTATGCATTCTTCTAAAATAGAATACAACAAGTCAAAAATATCTGACTGAATAGAAAAATATAGGAAAACAAAAAGTAATTTCTTGATGAAATAACCCATAAACAACACATAGAATTAGACTTTCTACTGAGATACTAAAAGCCACAAACCAATAGTATAATAAATGAATATCTAAAAATTCTAAAAGGTAGCCAATCTAGTATAGTTTCAATCCTGATTAGAGTCATGATCACTGTCTGAGGAACTGTCATTGCTATCACTTTCACCTCCTATGTTGATTATTATTTCTTCCTGTATTTCTTGAATGAGACTGTCTTTTTCCCAATATTCATCTTCAATTTTTATAACATGTCCAATAACCTTTTGCCAGTCACTGGCACTTACTGAAGCGATGGCCTTATTAGAAATTTCATCTAGTTTTTTTATAGTAAATTCGCCGCTTGTATTATGGCTTCTAATGAAAAATTTTACTTGTGCCCAAATCATCTCTATGGGATTAAACTGACACATATAGGGTGGCGTTCGAAGTGGGGTGTGTCCGAAACTTCTTATTAAATTATCTATCTTATAATTTTTCTCATCAGATGGTGGCCTATGTAGACAAGCTATTTCATAAAGCTCCATTTTTTTAGCATTAGGATCATGCTCTATACCTTTTTTGCTCAACCACGTGATGATGTCTCTTTTTAGAGAAGATCTAGTTGGAGGCTTGTCTTCCAAAGCTGAATGGTAAGGTGCATTATCCATTATTATAATACTATTAGGAGGAATGTTAGGAAATAGTTTTTCAGTAAGCCACTTCGTGAAATTTTCTTGGTTCATTTGACCGTGATAATCACCAGTGGCACAGCCAGCCTTGAAAATGAGACAGGCTCCAGGAACAAAACCATCTTGCGAACCCGCATGAACAATTATAAGTCGTCCTGGAAATGAATAAATAGCCTCATTTTAGTGTTATTTTAAGTTTGCCAACACCTTTTTGAATCACTATGTATAAAAAACATATTTTTGAGAAAAAAATACTTGCAAGGGATTATGTATTCAATTAGACAAATTAAATGAGCACTTATTAAGAATATTCCAAAATTGAGAAAAATGTATAATAAGCAAAATCGAGGTGAAAGAAACTTTATTACCTGTAGAACTTATATTGCTCAGGACACCCATAATTTCTTCGCTTTGCCAGCATTTCTTGAAAGTGAGGTCATTATCAACCCAAGTTTCGTCCAAATAAATAATATGCCTTCCTTCTTCCCGGAACTTTTTAATAGACCTAAGATACTTGTATCGCCAATGTAAAATACTGGGTCTTTCCATTAGTAATTTCCTTTTGTTGTGGCATTTACGCCAGTAAAATCCTTTTGCTTTTAAAAGCAGCCTCAACGATTCTTTACCAAATGGAAATTCCATTTCTTCCTTCAGTTTGATTAGAAGTTTACTACAAGTAGGTACCACTTTAAAATCACAGTAAAATTTTTCTATCATTCTCCGAATAATGGAAAAATCGACTCCATCAATTTTTTGGATCACAGAAGGGCGTGATCTCTTTTTTCCGGGAGAAGCTAAAGGCTGTGTGGAGGTTGCATTTTGCCTGTCTTTATCTTCTTTTCTAATTTTACTTATAGTTCGTTCACTAACACCCGTATAATATGCCGCCCTTGCATTTCTAGCTACCAGTGGATAAACGAAAGTATTGTTAGCCGCTTCTGCATCGCAAGCACGTATCACGTTTGCTATTATTTCCCTTGCCTGGCTGTGAATAACTTTCCCATGCTTGAATTCCATTATCACCACTAAACAGTAAATTATATTTTCAAAGTATTTGCCAACTGCCTACGCCTATGGGAGTAGGTTTATAAATGACCGTGCCATCGGCACGTTATTCTAGTTTCAGATAAGATAAGAGTTTTGGACCAATCAGCGACCGGATGTTTACCTGCGGCCTGGGTTTTCCAGCTACATTGCCAAATTCAGCGGAACAATTCTATATCTTAAATATGTTAATATGTATGGACCGCATTTTATGTAGAACATCTGACAACTTCGCAATTTTTTGTCCGCATTCTTTCGGCTTGCAATCTTTCGCTGGTCCAACATTAGTGTAGCTGCCAGCCAAGGAAGCAGCTTGTGAGACTGAGATAGAGTTGCGACTTTTGTTTAAGCCAGGTGCTTGCATTTGAGAATGCTTTGGCTGGCTTGCAGAATCAGCAGAAGAAAGAGACACAGGCGGTGTTATGTCCAATGAATTGGTATTGATTGGGGATTTCTTGGTCGGATGGGAAGGATATTCGTTAATTTTAAGAATCTGTCGTTTATTACGTCTCGGGATAGGGGTAAAATCACTACCATGTTTGTCGTTTTCTGTCTCTATAGGTGAGGTAGGACTGTTGTGTCTTCTCTTGGGAATTTTAATAGAGCTGTCATCACGGGACATGAATTTATTTAACGAAGTACTAAGGCTAAAAACCTGGGCATTGAGATTGTCCACGCAGTCCGTCAGTCTCTTGATTTGCGCTGCCTGGTCAGCGATGATCTGGTACAGCCTCTCCTTTTCGGTGTCTCTTTCAGTATCTGCAGCTGTCAAAGCCTCACTAGGGTTCGTATTCTCCAATCTCTCAGGTACGCCGCTTTTTACTTCTTCTCCACTCGCTGTATTGGAGGGGTCGCCTGATGGCCCCTCGGACGTGCGTTCCATCTTATATTCGCCTTTTCTCTCAGCAAATTCTCAAAAATTTTAAGGAGCAAAAATCTGACTTGTCTTTTCCCTGTCTGCAGGGCGGTATAGAAAAATTCATTTTCAAACACGTTTTTATTATAATGCTCACAAAGCTAATTTTGACAGTTTGTAACAATCATCAATTTATTTGTTTCCAAGGATGATGCGATATTTTAGGGAATTAAGCCGTTCCATAAAAGACGTGCTAATAACCGAAAAAATAGCCGTAAAAACCGTTATGTGTCTAGTACAATTTGCGTTTTTGACCACCCTGTATGAGCAAAAATTAAAATTCGAAAAAGTAACAAATAAGATAAAAGCTTAGGTGTGTAAGTTTTTTTGATACAAAACTCAGCACTCCAAATTCCAAAATGGCGGACAGAGGGGTTGCCGAAGTGGGAGGTTTTTTTAGACTATTTTATATCAATTTTCTTCTTTTGAATTGGTTTATCCAAATATGCAATAAAATTTGAGGCATTCCATTTGAAAAATCACAACTTTGATATGTAGGTATAATGGCCAATATTTTAGAAATGTGCCCTCAAATGTCATGTATAACATCCCATGAATAGATTTTCCCAAAATATATTTGTTCATGAGTAATATTCTGTCCACACAGGGATGGCCCACCCTGTATATGTTAACTATGAATGTTTTCGAAATATACGGCATTTCCAGTTTAAAGGTTAGAGTTACGCCCCCAGCGGCCATTTTAGGAAGCTGAAAATTTCTAGCAATTTCACTTGGCCGGGTTTTTATAAATTTTTAGGCTTAGTGGTTGCCGATGATGTCAACAAAAAATATTGCAAAACGCGAATACTATGGAATGAAGTTATTTTAGATATATGTTAACTATGAATGTTTTCGAAATATACGGCATTACCAGTTTAAAGGTTAAAGTTACGCTCCCTGCGGCCATTTTAGGAAGCTGAAAATGTCTCGCAATTTCACCTGGCCTGTTTTTTATAATTTTTTCAACCGATAGCTCTAGGCTCAGTTGTTGCTGAGATACACAGCTGGCGTCCCGGTACAAACCGGCAGATTATCATAACCTCCAACATCACACATTTGGAGCATATACCCTATTTCATGATTATCCATCACGTTGACTTCCTACTGATGTGAACAGCTGCAAAAATTTGTTTCTAGCGTTTTGTTTCTTGTATGCAAATGAACTTTTCTAAATAAAAGAGCTTTTAGCAAGTATAAAATGAATTTGGAGCGTACAAAAAAACAACACCGAATATGGCTCTGTCTACTTTGGCATTGACGGATCCGTCAGAATTATGTGTGCTTTGCCGATATGTGGAATTTTGAAATATTACTAGGTAACCAGCTGTAATTCTGTCGTGAAATAGGGTATATACAATATCAATATCTGACGCGCTCGTGTATTTCTATGTAACTATTTTTTTACACTTTTGACAACCCTCCACTAAAATGGTATTCATCATATAACCTTTTTTCTTTCTGCAATCTAATCTTCAAAGCCCAATAGGTTCCTACGTCGCTCGAGTAACTCCTCGCCTTTTGGGTGCTCGTATTATTAGGAGTTTAATATGTTGGTATGAACATGCTATTTTTGGATGTACTTTCTGCTCTCGAAATATTAACATTGAATTACGCTGTATATTTTTTCCATGTTACCATTAACGACCACTGCATAATTGGAAATGTTTAAACGAAGATATAACTTATTAACGATTTTTTTATTTTGTCCACAGATACACCGTAACTGTAAGAGTTTCAGAAGAACAACCTTATCAAATAAGGGAATACGTATGGTGCCTGAATTTCCCGCCAAGATGCTCAAAGTACAAAATAAAGTTCAAAACTGTGTACAAAACTCAAAATCTGGTGAAAAGTAGGCCAATAGAAGAGTGCTGTAAAGGCTATGCCAAAAACACTGCCGAAGACGGTTGTATTCCGGTATGCTCAAAAAACTGCAAACATGGTGCATGCGTATCTCCGGATACTTGCCAGTGCGAAACGGGTTACGGAGGACCGTATTGTGATATTTGTAAGTACATTTTCGAAAACTACATTTTTTTAACACTGAGGCAGCCGCGCAGGCAGAAGCCTAAATGCCACGGCTTCTAAGAGGATCCCAAAGAAATTTTATAAATCCGATTTTTGAACTGTCTAAGGTTAGTACAACTGGGAAAAACCTCCTCTTGTAGATTGTTCCACAATTTCCACAGCGTGGGAACAATGTAGCGGTCGGATCGGCCAGTTCTGGATGTACGAAAAGTTCGACATGGTTAGGATGGGAGGCCGAAGTCAGGCAGGCACATCGTGCGGCGGCATCGTGGAGAAGAGCTCTGAGGAGCAAAGCCCGTTGGTGCAGCGGTAGACGAGAGCTAGATCGCCTTCGGCCCGCCGATGTGCAAGGGCCCCGAGACTGTCTATTAAAGAGGAGTCATCAATCAGTCGGACTACCCACCTCTGGACAGCATCAAGCATGGATAATATAGTCTGGGCGGCAGCGCGCCAAACGTGTGAGCCGTACTCGAGGCTAGGCCTTATCTGGGCCTTGTATAGAGTGGGGTTATGCGGAGAAAAGTACTTCTTAGCCCTAAACAAATAGCCCAGCTTTTTCCCAGCAGCTGCCGCTATTGACGAGATGTGTTCGCGAAGATCTCGCTGATCGGCACTTTGGTAGAACTCTGCCATCCATCGAAATCGGATGGGCGCCAGGGCGCCTTTTGTTCGTCAAGGTACAGTACTGTGTCTTGGAAGCATTATACTATATGTTAGAGTTATTTGGGTTGTCTTAATTTTATGGCGAGTATGAGTTGTCGCTTGCCTACCCCGCGCGCGTGCGTCGCTATGACAATCCAAAGAAGACAGAGTTACTAGCGAACCTCCATCGCACCCGCAAGTAATTTATGTGCTATCCGTAACGTACACCCCCGCTTCTTCAACCCCGCAATCTTCACACCGACCACTGCATCAGGAGCGCTCCTGGATTACTGCTACGCTAGGAATACGAACAAGAATTAGAACAAAATACTGGATCAAAGGTACGCGTCAACCGCTCGAATACTCTAACATATTTTTGATCCTTCTCAACGGATTCGCATTTTATCACACTTTGCTGGAGAATTTTGTCAATTTTAGTTTCATATTCAGTAATTTCATTAATTCATTAGATTCACATTTTGCGACTGTAGGTAACCATAGGACAGTACTCAAGCACATTTTGTCTTGTTTCATAACCAGGGCTGACAAACTTAAAAAGGAAAAGAATTTCCACAATATGGAAATAAATAAGACTTCCGATTGCCTGGACATTGTTTATATAGCTCAAGCCGACCTTAATTAACATTCGTAGTTTATACAAAGATATAAAACCATAGAGTATTCATATGAAGGTTTCAATAAACGCCATAACACAATAATTGATTTGTTAGATCCTGACCAAGATGAGGAATTTCTTGTCGAGGATAACGTACGCATTGGGGTTGATAACAAATATTATTCCATTAAATCCATTTATTATGATTTGTTTGAGATTAATAAAGTTGAGGTCTGACACTCGGCCTGAAATATCCGATCTTCCACATAGGGCGAAACTACCTGAACTAAACCTGATGAGGTTTAATGGTGATATTAAATCCTTCATGTCATTTATGGATGGTTTTGATGCTTTAAATCATAACAACCAAACTCTATCCTATATAGAAAAATTTTCGCATTTGATATCATCTGCTGATGGATCTGCTAAAGGTATGTTGCAGCGCTATCCTTTAACTTCGTCCAATTATTTAGTAGCTTATCAAGCACTAAGGTCCAAATATACTAATAAATGGCTTTTAGCAACATCACACTGCAACGAAATTGAGACTATGCCACGCAGGAATTCTAAAAATCCCGCTCAACTGAAGAAACTACTCGAAACATATACTGAAAATATTGCCGAATTGAAAAATCTTGGTTTTCCCGTAGCTGAATGGGACTTTATTTTAACCAATATGCTTCTTAAACGCGCTTCAAATTTACTTTCACAATTTGAACTACTGTGCTTCTGACGAAATACCGCATTTCAAAGATCTCACAGAGTTTTTAAAACGCCAATGTAACACATATGATAATATAAATGATGCCTCTTACTCGCGTCAGAGACATACACGCACAAATCATATTCATCTAAACCGCCATACTAGCTCATCCCTATTAACCTGCACAGATTCGTCTCCTTTGCCAACCCGCTCTTGCTTCTTAAGCAAAAATTCTGATCACTTAATCTATAAATGTCCGCTCTTACTTGATAAATCCCCACAGGAGAGACTTTCTGTAAGTCAACCGCCATAGGCTGTGGACAAACTGTTTGAGTAATTGTCATTCTAACAGTAGGTGTAGGTCAGCTCATACATGTCGCATATGTAACGCCAAGTATCACTTCATGTTATTCAATACACAAATACTTCGCAACCCTCTAATAATCCTTCATCGCCTGTAGTTGAAAACGCACAATTTTCAAGTTTGGAAAATAAATACATTATCAAACGAACTTACCTGTAAGTGATGTTCGATCTTAATTATGTGAAGTCCTCGTCGAAGTAAATATTTCCCCCTTCAAAGCCAAGTTGTTGCAACAATTGGGTGATACGTAGGGAGCGAGGGAGCTATTTACTTTGACGAGGACTTCACATAATTAAGATCGAACATCACTTACAGGTAGGTTCGTTTAATCATGTAATTATGTTCCGTCCTCGTCGAAGTAAATATTTAGAATACATAATGTATATGTTCAAAGCTAGTTGCAACAACATACTACTAACGCTCTGCAATAGTAAACGATAGGTTGTACACAACTACACAAATTGTACGCAATGTTTGTGTTAACTAAATGTACATTTCCATTGTAACAACTCAAGTAAGGGCTTTTAGCAACAGGTAATATGACGTACATAGGTTCAAAAATTACCATCCTTGGTAACAAGCAAATAATGTAATAACATAGTTATGTTTAAGGTGTGGAGATTTGGTTCACCTCAGATGCCGCTTGAGCAAAGCTATTGTTTGGCATAAGAGATTTGTGACGTGTCTCAGAAAACGCACTTCAGCCCGCCGCGAGCCTGAGACTACTATAATTTAGCAGGCGCAGAGTAGACGCATTTCATGTACTGTGGGCTGTCAATTGTGACACTCTCTGCTCAAACCGACTTCATCCATCTGGGAGCAGAGGCTCCATGATAAAGTTATTGTACAATGACAAATAAATACTTTGACTGCACAGGTATTTGGGGGTAAAATACGGTAAAACTAAAAGTGGTTGCCACATGAGTGACCCCGAGACTTTCAAAAACTGAGAAATCCCCCCAATTTCAATATTATTTAACTCAATCCGGATGTTGTCTATTTCAATTAGTTTGCACACTCTGACCTGAGCTTAGGGCTAGCAGTGTTGCTGATATCCTCACCCGAATATCTACAGAGCTTACCAGCATCCCATTTGGTTCAGTATCTATATTTCAGTTGAGATGGCCTCAGCCTGTAAATGCCCTTCAAAAACCATCTTATGCCTGCATCGTTAGTAACATTTTGGGTAAAAGACTGATAGCTCAAACAATTATATAATAATAATAATAATAATAATAATAATAATGTCTTTATTAATCCATCCACACTGCGAGGCGAAGTTTAGCCAGCTGGCTACTCTACCACTTAACCTCACAGCGCAGGAACACATACAAAAAAAAAGATAACAATGAATAGCAATCGACTAACTAATATATACAATAATTAAGGCTTAAATAGAGTAATCTTAATATGTTGTACATCTATTCTGCATAGCCCGCTCTAACAAAAAAAAAACAATAAAGACAAAAAAAATAATAAATATATCAGCCAGCTTGGCTAGCAGACCCCAGAAGATGGTTCTTAACGGCTCTCTTGAATGCAAGTATTCCCTTCTTTTTGTAATTGTCATTAAAACTATTATACACCTTGACAGCGTTGTAGGTGAAGCTACGATGGAAAATGTTGCTCCTATAACTAGGTATATTGAAGTCAGAGTTATGTCTGAGATTCCTGTAATTGAGATCCCCACATGGTACCAACCTTTTTAGTAGATAAGTAGGTAGCCTATTGATTTTGATTCGTTGTACTAAAATTAGTAAATTATTTGTGAAAAGCTGGTCAACCCTCAACCATCTAAGCTCATTGATCTTCTTAGACACATGGCTAAACTTTCGCGGACCACAAACGAACCTACAGCAGCTATTTTGATTATATCTTGATCTCTTATCACACTGTAAGGTGAGAAATTTCAAGGGAGAAAACCAGACATGTATTTCTTCCCGACAAAGATCCTACCATAATCTAAGCCCACAATAACATAATGGATTATCGATGCTGATTGGAATGACAGCTTTCCAGTGGCGACAATCAGGGTAAGCATCAGAATTAGTGGGAGCGGCGTCCTGGGCCCTTGAATCAGATCCTTGCGTTACTTCTAGAAGTGAAATTTCAGAGGGCAGTAAGATTTATCTCTTTACACAACTGCCATAGCTTCCCGCCACCTGGTCCAGACGTGGAAACTAGAAGCTCCCCATTCTCTTGATGTAGGATGGGGTATAATATGCGACAGCCCATCAATTCGGGAGCAAAGCGTTTACCACAGAAGAAAACTCCCAGTGGTTCTGGATGATTAGCATGCAGGATCTTCTTCTCGGGTGACCAAAAACTATGAGACTTTTCCCTGCCCAACGAATGTCCTACTCCGAGAAATTATACAACTAAAAATTGGATATTTTATGTTAGTGGCATAGTAACGTTAAAATTCTCTAACGAAATGAAAGACAAGCTGTTTACCGCAAAGTTTCGGACTCTGTCTTGGTTGCTGTCCATTATTGCCCTTACTAGGTTTAGTAATGTCTGCATCGTCTGCTCAAGTAAAGGTACTTTCTTTCTGTCACAATTTAATACTGATCCTGAAAGTGCCCAATTTTTTTAAGATATGCCAGAAATGGTTTTA